TTTCAACTTAAGAACACCATTCCAAAATGGATTAAGTTCTTAAGTAGAGGTTCCACTGTAGTTTCTATGGACGGAAAAGAGCAGATACGGATTAAATGGTTTTTAATGTATTCCTATGGGAAATGCAGATTCAACATAAGAACTTTTCAACTTGAGAACCACCTTCCAATACGGATTAAGTTCTTAAGTAGAGACCCCACTGTATATGATTGGGGCTCAAGAATCTCGTACGAGCCCTGCTGTAGCTGGCTTGATCCAATCTTCCAAGCATGCCTGAGTTGCGACATGCTATTAACCAGGTTTCTCATCTTCACATTGGCCTTTGTGATCCTTTCTTACCTCGTGGGCCAGTTCACCGGAACGTATCTGTGACTCACTTCCAAGCTTGGACACATGGATGGCCTGCCTTGAAAAGCCCTTATTCTGTTCCAAGGAGCTGGTAGAAGATGACGACTTATTTTTAGTTGAAGACTGTTGCATCCGATAAAATCATGATAGGAACGATGACTGTTTTATGGTCCTCAAAAGTATTGCATAGACATCCTGGAGCAAATTGCTACGGCAGACCTGTAGGCGAGGATGGTGTGATTACCCCTTGAATTACCAAATGGGGAGCTGAGGTGGAGGAAGCTTTGTCTAATGAGGTCATTAGAATCGTAGAATAATCAAGTTGGAAGGGGCCTGTAAGGCCATCAAGTCCGGCCCACCTGTTATATCCGAACCAGGAAATCCGCTTGGCAGACGCAAAATCCACCTTTCCTCTCCTCTGTCTTAATGGCCACCTTTCGCCATGATGATGTTCTTATTCTTCTCTAGCCTGATATCTCTAAATTTCTTTTCTTCCCCCCCACCCCAGCGATGATGAACAAGCCAACCTGATGTGGAAGCGCTACCTGGAACGAGAAGACAGCAAAATAGTAGGTGAGTAGACATCGTGGCCTGGCAAATGTATGAGTCTGCACTGTGGATCGTGTTGGCTGGAGCTGACGGACGTTTTTACTGAAACAGCGGAGGTAGGACCCCACCCAGGAAGACAGTGGCGGAGATTCCCAAATATCTCCGTGTCTTTTAAGAAGGTGGGGTCTGGCGGAATACTTGAGCTCAGCTCAGCACACAGAGAAGACGAGTGGTAAACCTTTCAATAAAGAGTTGACCGTGGGCTTATGGGAGTTATAATCCCGCTCTAGCGCCTCTGGAGGGCGCTAGATTTGGGAAGAGCTGCCCTTAAATTATGGTTTACGCTAGGGGTTCCCAACCTTGGGCCCCCAGATGTTCTTGGACTATGACTCCCAGAAGTCCTGGCCAGCACAGCTCGTAGTGAAAAGGCTCCTGGGATTTGTAGTCCAAGGTTGGGAACCTTTGGCTTAGGGCGTTTTTTCTTTGAATGGGACCCCCTGGGCCAGAGTCATACAAAACCCTTTTCCCCTCAATTTCACTTCACAAGTGTCTGCGATCGTGATACTTCAATCCTGACGCAAGTATGTAACAGAGTTAAATTGGGGGAAGATTATTATTTCATCCGCATTGACTGTAAAGGTTTCTTTGAACTACCGAGCATGTTGGGTTACAGCTTTGGGTTTGAGTTTAGGGAGAAAGGGCCAGCTGAGCTCCCAGCCAGCAAAAGGGCTGTCCCTCACCCCTTTCGCCTTTCTCCCGGTTAGACCTCTTCGTTGGCCAGCTGAAGAGCTGCCTCAAGTGCCAGGCGTGTGGCTATCGGTCGACCACCTTCGAAGTATTTTGCGATCTCTCCCTGCCCATCCCAAAGGTAACCTTTCGGCACGATTGTGGTGGGTGGGCTCTGTGGGGGATGATGTGTCACTGTTTCCTAACAATCAGTAAGATCACAAGTCTTTCTCACCCCCCAGCACTGAAATCTCTGATGGGCAGTGGCTCTAAACAGATTTGTAGTTTCAGTGTTAGCCTTATTGTTAGGTTATAAGCGGTTCCATTTTTACAGTATATTTGGAACAGTCTCTTTTTTTACTCTTAAAAAAGGTTTATTCTTGAAAGGTATTATGCTCCTGCATTTTATCCTTAAGTACTTGCCTACAGCTTCAGTTTTGTTTCCATACGTGCAAAAGTTACGTGCGTACAGTTTCTTATTCTACAGATGAATTTTGCCAGATGAAGTGGTGTGTCTGTAACGTCTCAAACGTTACATGTTTTTAATACTTTTGGAAATCGTTGTATGCTTATAAAACCTAGAAGCCATACCGGCAAATAAAGCTTAGAGAATGAAGAAGGTGGCATTTCCTGGAATTATTGCAACAAGTACAATACTGATATCGTAGGACCACCCCATCTGCAGGGTCAGCTTTCGGATTAACCCTTCACTGGAATAGTACCGGCTGTGATGAACCTAGAAAACTTTAGTCAGCTATAAGTGTGTGTGGGCTTCGGTGATTTTCCTGTCGGTCTGCCCTCAGGTTGGCCTGGAAGGGAAACATCTGGAGTGCCTCCAGACAAAGTCTGACAGATGTCTGCTACCGGGGATCCTTTTTAACCTGAGGCTAAATTCAGGGCTTCTACATGGGTAGACAGTACAGTGGCATCCCATAATAAACTCGATTGTGGCAGCCACCATCTCGAACACTCTCCTTGTGTGGTTTGAGAGCTGAAGGTTTTGTTCTTTAATGCCTACTAGAAACACGGATGTACAGTCGGACCCTCATATCTGGGGGATTGGTTCCAAGCCTTCCCTGTGGATTATAGTGAACACTATACATATATTGGTCTCTGGTTCCTTTTTGTGGCCAGTTCTGTGAACTTCATCTTTAGAAATGCATATTTGGGGTGGTTTTTTCCCCCCTTTTAATATTGTATTTTTAATATTTTCAGACTGTGGATAAGTGTATCCGTGGATACTGATCCCGCAGATAAAGGGGTCCTACTGTATATCCAGGTTTTCCCCAGCTAATGATAGCTGCTCTGTTGCAGGATTTTTAAAATATAAATATTACCTTTTAAAAAGTGGCTTTTGAACGGGTTTGCATGGCAGAATTTGGAAATGCAGAGCATCGCCTTCTGAGTAAAATCCTGCCCTCTTCTTTCACAGAAAGGCTTCACGGGTGGGAAGGTCTCTCTGCTGGACTGCTTCAGCCTCTTCACCAAGGAGGGAGAAAGGGCCAGCTGAGCTCCCAGCCAGCAAAAGGGCTGTCCCTCACCCCTTTCGCCTTTCTCCCGGTTAGACCTCTTCGTTGGCCAGCTGAAGAGCTGCCTCAAGTGCCAGGCGTGTGGCTATCGGTCGACCACGTTCGAAGTATTTTGCGATCTCTCCCTGCCCATCCCAAAGGTAACCTTTCGGCACGATTGTGGTGGGTGGGCTCTGTGGGGGATGATGTGTCACTGTTTCCTAACAATCAGTAAGATCACAAGTCTTTCTCACCCCCCAGCACTGAAATCTCTGATGGGCAGTGGCTCTAAACAGATTTGTAGTTTCAGTGTTAGCCTTATTGTTAGGTTATAAGCGGTTCCATTTTTACAGTATATTTGGAACAGTCTCTTTTTTTACTCTTAAAAAAGGTTTATTCTTGAAAGGTATTATGCTCCTGCATTTTATCCTTAAGTACTTGCCTACAGCTTCAGTTTTGTTTCCATACGTGCAAAAGTTACGTGCGTACAGTTTCTTATTCTACAGATGAATTTTGCCAGATGAAGTGGTGTGTCTGTAACGTCTCAAACGTTACATGTTTTTAATACTTTTGGAAATCGTTGTATGCTTATAAAACCTAGAAGCCATACCGGCAAATAAAGCTTAGAGAATGAAGAAGGTGGCATTTCCTGGAATTATTGCAACAAGTACAATACTGATATCGTAGGACCACCCCATCTGCAGGGTCAGCTTTCGGATTAACCCTTCACTGGAATAGTACCGGCTGTGATGAACCTAGAAAACTTTAGTCAGCTATAAGTGTGTGTGGGCTTCGGTGATTTTCCTGTCGGTCTGCCCTCAGGTTGGCCTGGAAGGGAAACATCTGGAGTGCCTCCAGACAAAGTCTGACAGATGTCTGCTACCGGGGATCCTTTTTAACCTGAGGCTAAATTCAGGGCTTCTACATGGGTAGACAGTACAGTGGCATCCCATAATAAACTCGATTGTGGCAGCCACCATCTCGAACACTCTCCTTGTGTGGTTTGAGAGCTGAAGGTTTTGTTCTTTAATGCCTACTAGAAACACGGATGTACAGTCGGACCCTCATATCTGGGGGATTGGTTCCAAGCCTTCCCTGTGGATTATAGTGAACACTATACATATATTGGTCTCTGGTTCCTTTTTGTGGCCAGTTCTGTGAACTTCATCTTTAGAAATGCATATTTGGGGTGGTTTTTTCCCCCCTTTTAATATTGTATTTTTAATATTTTCAGACTGTGGATAAGTGTATCCGTGGATACTGATCCCGCAGATAAAGGGGTCCTACTGTATATCCAGGTTTTCCCCAGCTAATGATAGCTGCTCTGTTGCAGGATTTTTAAAATATAAATATTACCTTTTAAAAAGTGGCTTTTGAACGGGTTTGCATGGCAGAATTTGGAAATGCAGAGCATCGCCTTCTGAGTAAAATCCTGCCCTCTTCTTTCACAGAAAGGCTTCACGGGTGGGAAGGTCTCTCTGCTGGACTGCTTCAGCCTCTTCACCAAGGAGGAGGAGCTGGACTCGGAGAACGCACCGGTGAGTCAATGTCGGGAGGCGACCAGGAGCAGTAAAGGCTCCTCCATGTAGCTGCCCCTCGGTTACCCTTTATGTGTCCCAAATGAACCACAGATCAAAATCTGGAATGGATCATAAAAGGCAAAACTTTTCATCCTCGGGTCTTTCTGATGATGGGGTTCCAGCTCTAATCCTGCGGAGATCTGTAAAAAAAGAGAGGGAGGGTTGCAAAGACATGACCCAGAAGTAATTAATGAAGTGAAATGAATAAGCCAATTTTTTCTGCCATTTTTTTCTATGGGGATGATCCTCGGCCAACTTTATAGATTAGTTCTCTCTCTTTCGGAGCAGGTGTGTGACAAATGCCGGCAGAGGACTCGAAGCACCAAGAAGCTGACCATCCAGCGGTTTCCCCGCATCCTCGTCTTACGTATCCTTTCCGCATTTCTGCTGGGAGCAACGTGGGAGGGTGGGCGCTGCTGATAAGAGACCCACGCAGTCAAGCTGAAAGGGGTCGCAAGTCTGTCTAGGGGAGCGGACAGGTGCCTTCCGAATGCGAGCCAGCTTTGCGGGGGTGTCCAGAAAAGCTATCCCAAGCGAAATCCGTCATCGATTAATATTACAAATGTTGTAACATTAATTTATTACAAATTCCTCATGGCGCCTTAAAGGCAACCGGGTTTGCTTGGACATCGTGAGCTGCTTTAAATGAAGTAGGCTACGCTCTTCAAAAGCTCGTACCAAATAAAACTCATTCACCTTCCAGGTGCCTAGAGACTCTGTTAGTTTTGCTGCAAGAGATTAGCATGTCTACCTCATGAGTATATGATTCTTATTTTAATATCCTCCTTTTCCTCTCGTGAGGCTCAAGGTGGTGAACACAATTCCCCGTTCCTCAGCCTCCTTGTCACAACGACTCCGCAGTAGCGTAGTGTCCTTCGGTGGCTGTCAACAAGCATAGATAACGTATAATTTAGAATAATTTAGTTTACCACCATCAGGACATTCCAGACATACACTGATTTCTTTTTTTTTTCAGATGGAATTTGGGTGGGGCCCATTCTTTCGTTTTCCGTATTTGTTGGCATATTCTTGTTAGGATTTCGATTCCTTCTTTCCGTTGCTTGAAACAGTTCTGTTAATATTCCGTCTACCCCTGGTGATTGATTTATTCCTAGTGCTTTCGGAACTCGCCAAGAATTTCTGAAGCCCAGCCTCTGCTTGATAGCAGAGCCTTTGACGGTGTGGTAGATCATGAGAAGCGATGGGTTGTTCTGAAAAATAAATTGGGTACGCTTCAGCACTTGATTCTCCTGATGCGTTATCTCTCTTGGGGACAAGAAGCGATTATTAGAATATAGAGAAACAGAATGGTTTCCTATAGGCAACGGTGTCAAACAAGGGTGCATTTTAACCCCTTATTGCCCCCTAGAAGCCTTCACTGCTTAGCTGCACTGGGCAGGATTTATAGGAGTTGTAGTCCAAGAACATTTGGGGACCCAACATTGGAAACCACCGGTCTAAGCTTTTCCATGCAACCATCCTTGTAACCAGGTTCGTTGCCACCTTGAATTAGCTTTCCTTTAACTCCGTCTACCTCAGACCTGAATCGGTTCTCCACCACCCGTTACTCCATCAAGAAATGCTCCGTGTTTGTGGATTTCCCCCTCCAGCAGCTCAACTTGAAGGAGTTTGCCAGTGAAAAAGCCGGTGAGTAGCACACCGCGTTGGGACCAGTCCCTGCTGTACCAGAGCGCTCTGAGTTTGGTCTTTAATTCCCCCCCCCCTAAAATTTAAAAACTGGTATCTTGTCTTGTTTCGTAGGACCACCCCATCTGCGGGATCAGCTTTCGGATTAACCCTTCACTGGAATAGTACCGGCTGTGATGAACCTAGAAAACTTTAGTCAGCTATAAGTGTGTGTGGGCTTCGGTGATTTTCCTGTCGGTCTGCCCTCAGGTTGACCTGGAAGGGAAACATCTGGAGTGCCTCCAGACAAAGTCTGACAGATGTCTGCTACCGGGGATCCTTTTTAACCTGAGGCTAAATTCAGGGCTTCTACATGGGTAGACAGTACAGTGGCATCCCATAATAAACTCGATTGTGGCAGCCACCATCTCGAACACTCTCCTTGTGTGGTTTGAGAGCTGAAGGTTTTGTTCTTTAATGCCTACTAGAAACACGGATGTACAGTCGGACCCTCATATCTGGGGGATTGGTTCCAAGCCTTCCCTGTGGATTATAGTGAACACTATACATATATTGGTCTCTGGTTCCTTTTTGTGGCCAGTTCTGTGAACTTCATCTTT